TTTTTTTTTTTTTGGGAGAGGGGGAGAGGTGAGCTTTATTTATCACTGTCTTATCTATTTGCCATTTTCGTCGAATTTAATTCTTAGTTTTAAATTTTTGTTCTAATTTAAGCTCATTAGAAAAAAAAACCACACAAAAAAAGTATACATAAACACACTATCTGTGCAGCTTTTCAGTCTTACAAGACTGAGGTTAATGGTGGATTAGGTGCAGACAAAAAAAAAGCAACTGATTTTTCCAAAAAATTACTGATTGACAATTAAACTGTTAAAAAAATAGTCTGCCAAATTTATAGACGAGCTAAAAAATAATTTTAAAATCTAAAAAAGCTTTCGACAAAATTTACTGAGTTTATACAACAGGGATTTAACAACAGTATAATAATTGTGGCAAAACTGTCAATAATTCTGTTGAAAGATCAGCAAATAATTAATTTTTTTACAAATTTGAAACAAAAATTTTTTTTTTTTTCAGATTGACAAGTAGCACAGGCTGTTCAGATGTTAAAAAACTTTTTCAGAAAACTTTATTTTCATTCACCAACAGTAAAATGTCGCTTTAAAATTGTCTCTCACTTACGTCAGTTTAAGACGAAAATTCAAACTACGAGCAGATGAAAGTTAAATATCGTTTTTGATAAGAACTTCTTATTTAAAAAAAACTTCAACAAAAAGTTTCAAAATTACTGTTTCATCGTTGCTGCTCAGTGCTCTTCGCATAACTTCATAAAAGTATAGAGAAGATTAGAGTGATCAAAAACAGTATGGGAATTTAGGTGAAATCATTACAGATCCAAAGATATTTGCTACAACTGAAATAGATAAAAAAATTAACTGATAAGAGATTCTGATAATTAGCAGTTCTGATGACTAGAAACTGAAGCTAAAAAAAAAAAGTTTATACTAAAACCTTTGAGATTATAAAAAAATTTTTTTCTTACCGATTATCCGCTCTAGTTAGCTTTTCAGCTGTTTATCAAAAAGAATAATTTTTTAAGTGCTTAAGCCGTTTAAAGCAAATTTTCAGCATCTTGTCTTTGAAGAAGCTCAAAAATAGCACTTGAGTATGTGATAGTTTTTGTTCTTTTCGAAAATTATAACTTTCTTGTTTAATTTCTTGTTTATATCAACAGATCTAATCTTTTTTAGTGAATTTGACATAAAACAACGAATACCATGGTCTTGTTTGAGCAAAAATTTTAACACATATTATAAGCTTTATCGTCATTAAACTAATACAGTGTTGTACAAGTCAAGCATTTTTTTTTAAGAAAATTCCAGAATCAAACTACATTTTCATGGCACATATCAACAGTTATTAGTTGGTTACAATCAAAGACAATCAGCGCTGCATATCAGTTTGAAGTTTCATCATAATATTTCAAGAAACAAACATAATTTGGTCCCAAAAGTAGTGTTTAATGTTTCAAAAAATTACAAATTCAGTTTAAAATATTTTTTTTCATCTTTATCAAACCCTTTTTCTTTTCGTTTTTGTTTTTTTTTTTTTTATTTTGTTTCGTTGAATTCAGCGATTAAAAAGCAGCATAATAATAGGGATCTGGTACGTTACCGCCATAGAAACGAACGCTTGGTTCTAATGGAGTCCATTTACGATATCGTCGCATTCTTGGTTGCCACGATATACGATCGCTGAAAAATTGTTGTAGTCTGCTAGGATCGATGTTCGAAAGGTAGATACCGTGTACAGGCAAAGCGATCAGTGAACCTTAAAGAAACAGGTGGAATTTGGTGGAATGCATTGCAAGGTTGTGGACTATCACTGTTTTACTTACCAAGAAAGAAGAGTGCAGCTGTGAAGAAAACTGCGGTCTTCATTACTGTAAAATGTCGATAAGCCTGAAAAATAAGACTAGAGAGAGGTGAAAAAAAAAAGCGAAAAAAGTTTTGAAAAAAGAACAATATAATTGTATTGACAAAACTTTTTATACGTATCAAACTTTTTTCTATATTCAACAGAATTGTTCAATACATAAAATACTATCAGCTGATCAGCTTCTAATGCATTATCATAACTATATGAAAGTCGTAGTTGACAAAACAAAACTTTTTCTGTTCAAATCACAAGCAGTTTTTGGGTTTAACTGGATTGCATATTACAAATGGTGATAATAATCAGTTTCGATACACTATATTACAACAGTTGTTAAAAATTTATTAAAAAAGAGAGGCAGTCTTAATAAAGCGTCGTCTGTAAATTACTGCTAAAAATTATGGTTAGCAGAGAGTAAAAACTGATAAGCTATCAGGTAGAAGCAATAGCTATAAAATGAGTGACTATAAGATATCTGGACATAAAATACCACCAACACCGTTCTGAAAATTTTCATAGCTTTATGCGATTTTGTCAATGATAATTTCTGTGAATAAGGCGTGGCGAAAGCTAGAAGGTTTAGATTCTTAAAAAAAAAAAAAGTTAAAAAACTACGCCCCCACATATCTGAAGCTTTAACAAATGAAAAAAAAAAAGTGCAAAAAAAAGAATTTCTCGGCTTTTTTAACTTAAACAACTTGCTAATTAGCTACCGATGCCAAGTAATGCTGATTATGGACTTCTTTTGCTTGTTTCGCCATCACTCTCTTATTTTGTTTTTTTTTTTTTCAGCCTTATTTCAGCTGTTGAAAATAGCAGCAGCGAAAAAAAAATAAAGATCATTTTTCCAAGCCAAAATCAATTATTTTATTAGCTAACTAAAAACAAAACTAAACAACAACGAATACAAATAATGATAGCAAATATAGATGTTTTCTGCGCTTCTAAAAACTACTACAATTATTTGTGTGAAATAAGTATATTTTAAACAGCATTGAAAGATTTCTAAAAATTTTCTTTCCCTTTTTTTAATGTCTTTTTATGCTTTACTTTTAGAATGTTTCTAGAAGGCTGATGTCCTACTTCAGAGAAAAAAAAGGCAGATACGATCTACTTGCTTCTGTATGATTATGGTAATCTCAAAAGAACACAGGTGGGTATGGTGAAAAATTATGCTATTTAAAATGATGGTGGCAACGAGTTTTATTAAACGCACCAAAGATAGGCATAAGGAGAAACCAAATGACGTTATCTGCTAGAGCTTTTGACCATTTTTGCTGCTGATTATTGTCATATAGTTCAAACCCAGTAAATGTGCCCTTATTCAAGAGTTTTCTCATTAAGAACAACAACTATACTTTCTTAGGATAAAAATTAGATCTTAGTTCAATATTTTCTTAAGTATCCAGTCAGAATCGAAAACCAGTAACTAAGCGTACAGAATGGTAATAGAAGGCTTGAAATGAACTTAACGCAACAAAAATCTCTTCTGAATTTTACATTTAAATAAAACTGTATAGGTGATAAAGTGCAACAAAATAGTCTTTGTACTTTTGAATTTTTTTTTTCATTTAAATGAAAAAATCATATTATTTTAAAGCTAGTAAATCCATAAAAACAAGAAAAAAGCAATAAGGAATCTGTTTCTGATCATCAAAAAACTCAATGCTTTTGGTGATATAGGTTTTTTTTCCTTTTTTTTTTTTCAGTCCATTATTTGCTTGGAAATTCCAATTACTGCAATTATTTTTTCTTGTTTCACTTTTGCATTATTTTTTGCAAGTCTAAAAAGCCGAGAAATGTTTGGATGCAAAATTTTATAAAAAACGACAAAAAACCATA